TAGTTTCTCCTCTTAAGAATTGGTCTTTCCCCTTGAAAAGGAAGTTCCAATATTCAAACCTCTTGTTAAACTCTGAGCCCTGGGAATCTTTACTCAGCGCCTTATTTCAAGAGGATCTTAAGTCCTTATTCCAGAGCAGTGATCAGTGATGGGGCAATGTGTCCACAAACACCTTCTTTAGTGCTCGACAGGCTTCTTGGTCCATCTGACCTTTTTTTGCTGGCTGGGGATTTCTGGGAGTTGAAGTCCACATATCTTAAAGTTGTCAAATTGGAAAAACACTGGTTAAGTCATCTTAACCGGTTTTTAACCGGTCTCTTAATTCTTTTCCTAAAAACTGTATTCCAAATGTCTGAATTTGCCTTGCTGTGTCGTAGGGACCCATTCTTGCTTGGTTAAACTTTTATTATGAATATCTGCTGTCAGTTTTGATATTGCTGCATATGCTCCCATTTTGGCTTCAATAATTTTTGAAAGGGACATGCTGCCTGTGATGTCTCTTTATGTTTTTCCTTTGCAGCCAAATGTGTTTGTTTGTCAGCAATTAAATATTAATAGCAATACCACTCAACATGGAAAAGCCATAACATGTAGTAATGATGGCAAAATTCAACTCCAAAGATTTTCTTTTTCCTTTTTAAAACACTTTTATGGTATATTGTTAATAATGATAATATTTTAATTGTAAAAATTAAAATTAAATTTAATAATGAAGTTATTACCTTTGAGTATTTTTTCATTTGTGAGTTTCATAAAGGGGAAACACTCTAAATTAAAGAAAACAAAGAAGAAAGTGGCTAGTCCTCATGTTTGTTAAAATAAGACTATGTTTAAAAGGCATATGTGCAACGTCAGGTAAACTCTGCTAACAGCCAAATGGGTTGGTGAATAAGAACAGGAAATAAAATTATTTGGCCTGTATTTGTATGCAAACATACCTCCCAATGTATGTGAACCTGTTTCAAGAATTTAAACATTTACAACCATAGAAATGGGCATAGAAATGGAATATTAGGGAAAAGTAACCACTAGAAAAAGATTGGACGATATATGTGATCCTGTGTTTACTATTTATTTACAAACATTATTATGCCATCTATTTTCACAATTCTAGGTTGCATACAAATGTCTGTGCATGTGAGGGAGTGGCACTCATGGAACAGTGAGCAGAAGTGGACAGTAGCCCTGAGAACAGACAGTGGCAAAGTGGAAAGCTAAAGATAGAAGACACCTTGTGTGCAAGTCACTTCCTCTGTGCACTGGAAGTGGGTTGCACATCTGCAGCCTAGGAGAGAAAAGTCATGTATAGGCGCTGGTTCTGCAGAAAGTATCTACAGGGCATAGAATTGATAATTGCACGGAGACAAATAAAAGCACAACTGAATGGCAGTTCCTCATCCCTTCAGAGATGGAGATTTCAGTGCTCAGAATTTCTTGGCAAGCATGTGAATTCTAGGAGTCAAAGTTCATACATCTAGAGCAGTGTTTCTCAACCTTGGCCACTTGAAGATGAGTGGACTTCAACTCCCAGAATTCCCCCGCCCGCCAATCCGGGCTTGGAATTTCGTGGAGTGTAGTCCACTCCTCTTTCAGTGGGCACGGTTGAAAAACACTGGTCCTGATGTATGAAATATGTCTC